CAATGGTGAACATCTCTATGTTGATCATATCTACTATATGATTCACGTTTGACATTTTGGTATCTAGTGTTCCGAGGCCATGTCTGTACATGCTAGGCTCGTCAAGTTTAACCCGAGTATTTCGCACGTGCAAAACTGTCTTGCACCCGTTGTATGTGAACGTAGAGCTTATCACAACCGATCACCACATGGTGTCTCGGCACGACGAACTGTCGCAACGGTACATTCTCAGGGAGAACACTTATACCTTGAAATTTTAGTGAGGGATCATCTTATAATGCTACCGCCGTACTAACAAAAATAAGACACATAAAAGATAAACATCACATGCAATTAGAATATGTGACATGATATGGCCATCATCATCTTGTGCCTTTGATCTCCATCTCCAAAGCACCTTCATGATCTCCATCGTCACGGGCTTGACACCTTGATATCCATCGTAGCGTCGTTGTCGTCTCGCCAACTATTGCTCCTACAACTATCACTAACGCATAGTGATAAAGTAAAGCAATTACATGGCGATTGCATTTCATACAATAAAGCGAAAACCATATGGCTCCTGCCAGTTGCCGATAACTTCTACAAAACATGATCATCTCATACAACAACGTATATCTCATCATGTCTTGACCATATCACATCACAATATGCCCTGCAAAAACAAGTTAGACGTCCTCTACTTTGTTGTTGCAAGTTTTACGTGACTGCTACAGGCTTCTAGTAAGAACCGTTCTTACCTACGCATCAAAACCACAACGATTTTTCGTCAAGTGTGTTGTTTTAACCTTCAACAAGGACCGGTCGTAGTAAAATTCGATTCAACTAAAGTTGGATAAACAGACACCCGCCAGCCACCTTTATGCAAAACAAGTTGCATGTCTGTCGGTGAAACCGGTCTCATGAACGTGGTCATGTAAGGTTGGTCCGGGCCGCTTCATCCAACAATACCGCCGCAAAATATGATGTTGGTGGTAAGCAGTATGACTATGATCGTCCACAACTCTTTGTGTTCTACTCGTGTATATCATCTACGCATAGACCTAGCCCGGATGCCACTGTTGGGGAACGTAGCATGGAATTTCAAAATTTCCTATGATCACGCAAGATCTATCTAGGAGATGCATAGCAACGATAGGGGGAGAGTGTCCATGTACCCTCGTAGACCGAAAGCAGAAGCATTAGCTTAACGCGGTTGATATAGTCGAACGTCTTCGCCATCCAACCGATCAAGCACCGAACGTACGGCACCTCGAGTTCTGCACACGTTCAGCTCGATGACATCCCTCAAATTCTTGATCCAGCAAAGTGTCGAGAGAGAGTTTCAAGACCACGACAGCGTGGTGACGGTGATGGTGATGTGATCCGCGCAGGGCTTCGCCTAACCACTACGACAATATGACCGGAGACGTAAACTGTGGAGGGGGGCGCCGCACACAGCTAACAATGTTTGTTGTGTGTTCTAGCGGTGCCCCCCCCCACATATATATAGGTTGGAGGGGAGGAGAGGTAGCCAAGGGCGCGCCCCAAGTAGGAGAAATCCTACTTGGGGTCCTCCCAATTCGGCCTCCCCCTTTCCTATTCCTATTCGGAGTAGGAAGGGAAGAGGGGGAAGGGGGGATCATATTCCCTTTTTTCTTTCCTTCTTCCCCTTTCTTTCTCCAATTTGGCCAACTCATAGGGGGGGCACACCAGCCCCTTAGTGGCTTGTGTGTTTCCCCTCTTGGCCCATTAGGCCCATATAGTTTGCCAGGGGTTGCCCGGAACCCCTTCCGGTGATCCAATACATACTCGGTACCCCCAGAACACTTCCGGCGTCCGAATATTATCGTCCTATATATGAATCTTTACCTCTCGACCATTTCGAGACTCCTCGTCATGTCTGTGGTCTCATCCGGGACTCCAAACAACATTCGGTCACCAAATCACATAACTCATATAATACAAAATCGTCATCAAACATTAAGCGTGCAGACCCTACGGGTTCGAGAACTATGTAGAAATGACCGAGACACTTCTCCGGTCAATAACCAACAGCAGAACCTGGATGCTCATATTGGTTCCTACATATTCTACGAAGATCTTTATCGGTCAAACCGTAATGATAACATACGTTATTCCCTTTGTCATCGGTATGTTACTTGCCCGAAATTCGGTCGTCGGTATCTTCATACCTAGTTCAATCTCATTACTGGCAAGTCTCTTTACTCGTTCCGTAATGCATCATCCTGTAAGTAACTCATTAATCACATTGCTTGCAAGGCTTATCATGATGTGCATTACCGAGAGGGCCCAGAGATACCTCTCCGATACTCGGAGTGACAAATCCTAATCTTGATCTATGCCAACCCAACAAACACCTTCGGAGATACCTATAGAGCATCTTTATAATCACCCAGTTATGTTGTGACGTTTGATAGCACACAAGGAATTTTTCCGGTATTCAGGAGTTGCATAATCTCATAGTCAAAGGAATATGTATTTGACATAAAGAAAGCAATAGCAATAAAACATAACGATCATTATGCTAAGCTAACGGATGGGTCTTGTCCATCACATCATTCTCCTAATGATGTGATCCCGTTCATCAAATTACAACACATGTCTATGGTTAGGAAACTTAACCATATTTGATTAACAAGCTAGTCTAGTAGAGGCTTACTAGGGACACCGTGTTTTGTTTATGGATCCACATGTATCAAGTTTCCGGTTAATACAATTCTAACATGAATAATAAACTTTATCATGATATAAGGAAATATAAAATAACAACTTTATTATTGCCTCTAGGGTATATTTCCTTCAAGAACCGCGCCATCTGGAGGATGGCCGACTACATCAACTCCTCGTCCTCTTCCAACGTCACCGACGGCTCTAATGACCTCCTGGCGCCGAATCCTACACAGCCGGCTACAACTGTGCCAATGACCGTGAGGGCAAAGGCCGGCAAGAAAGTGGTGAAGAAGCTCGGCCCTCTCCATCTTTATTTTGGTTTTTTTAGTAATTTTAGTTTAGAACTGTTTCTGGACTGAAGTGTGGTGCTTTTTTGTCTAATGTTCGGATTATGTGGATTTGTATGTCCGTTTGTTTATTTCATTGATCACCTATCATAATAGCTTTCACGTTGTTTGCCTAGTACTTCCTCCTTTCCAGTGCATCCACACTTTTCGAGATTTAAACTTAACCATAAATTTAACCAGCATGGGTGATTGCGGCGGGAACAAAAATTATATCATTGAAAACTTCTTCTGAATACGAATTCATATCATTGAAAATTTCTTTTGAATACGAATCCGTACCATAGAAAACTTCTTTTGAATACGAATTCAATGGTATAATTTTTGCTCTCGCCGCAGTCATCCATGTTAGTTAAATTTATTATTAAATTTAAATCTCAAAAAGCACGAGTGCACTATATTATGAAATGGAGGGAGCATAAATTAGTGTTTTCAGATATGAGATAAACGACTGTGGACCGAGTTGAAGATTAACCAGTCACGATGTACGGACGCGTCCGCGGCAGATTTATATGGTGTCGTGTTTGGTATGTATGGCTGGAGATGCTGTTATATGCCTGAGATACTGGACGGTACGATGGCTACTCCATGGCTTGCTGTGGCCCATTGGTGATCGATCGGTCGATCGTATCCAAACACGCACGCTCGATCAGGTCCATCTGCTTTCTTTCTTATCCTTTGGGGTCGGGCGGTCAATAGCGGTCCTTTCTCCATTCCTCTCTACATATTTGAGACAAAAGTTATCTGAGACAAAAGTGAATCCTGATCATCATCATTCTGAAAAGAAGAATCGACAGCCATGATCAAACTGATACCTGAACGGATAGACGAAGACACAGCCCAATTCGCTGTGGTATGCCTGGAGCTGCGGCCACAAGGAATCCAGATCCAGGCTGCTGCTTGGCCTGGACTCGAAAAAAGATAGACCCACGCTGGTCTACATAATTAAGCGTTCCCTTAAGCGTATTATACAACGAACTGACAGCAGAAAGATAGACAGCTATTTGGCCTGAACACGAACAAGCGCCATTATCGTCTCCCGTCAAAACCTGCTCACGTACAGTACATGCACAGTCAGCCGCCAGCAGTGCAATGATCATGCTGCCTGTCAGCAAAATCAATTCCTTAATCATACAGTGCCAGAGTCCATGCAGCTGCGAGTAAGCAAAACCTCGTGCCGGCGAATCCGCGGGCCGTTCGCGGCGCAAATGGCACGCCGCTCGCAACCGCTTCGCACGACCGGCAGCAGCAAGATCTCCCGCTCCCCGTCACCCGCAGGACAGAGCGCCCGATGTGTCCCGGCCAGCTTCGTCCCCCGGTGTCCGCGCTGTCGCTTCGATCCCTTCCGACTCCACCCGGCGCACTTCATCATTCACTAAAGCAAAAGGCGCAGATAAATGTGATCTTTTTGGATAAAAAAGCACGGGATGAAATGAATCTCATGTGACTAGTAACGCACTACTATGCCGATCGCCGTCAGAAACAACCATGAAGCAGCCTGAGGCTGAATGTTTCTCCAACGCCACCACCGGAGAATAATAGTAAAAGATCCACAGCCTGTTGATCGGACCGTGTCATGTTTACCACGACTCCAAGTGGACAGTGCCAACGAGCAACCTCTTCGCTGATCTGCTGCGAGACGAGGGAGAAAAGCAGTAAGCGTGTCAGTTTTTTTTTAAAAGAATTAGGAAGCGTGTCAGCTTGGTAACAAAAGATCTACTCTGGCGAACGTTGGGCCCCGCGGATTCCGGCCCACGTCAGCCGGCCGCGCCCACCGTTGACTCCCCCACCCCGCCCACGGCCTGCCCGCGGCGGGCGGCCCCCCGATAAAAGGCCCGCACGCCATCCGCTGCCACGACACGGCGCAACTGCACGACAGGCCGAAGAGACCAGACCCAACCACATCGGCTCGGCGGCCGGCGCAGGGGTTTCCTTCCCTCCTTCCATCCACGATCCACGGCCGCGGCGAGGCGAGGCGAGGCGATGGACGCCGACCACGGCGGCGGTGTAGACGAGGCGGAGGCGGCCTTCTTCGCGCGCCGGGGCAGCCGGTGCTGCTGCTTCCCCTGCTGGCCCTCCTCCGCGCCCTCCTCGTCCTCCGCGCTCTCCCACCAGCGCGCCGGCGGCGGGGCGGCGGCGGCGACGCTGGGCGGGGAGGAGGAGCACTGGTGGCAGGGTGCGGTGGACGCGCTGCTCAAGGTGCGGGAGTGGTCGGAGCTGGCGGCGGGCCCGCGCTGGAAGACCTTCATCCGGCGCTTCGGCCGCGGCCCCCGCCCGCACCACCACGCCTTCGGCGGCGCCCGCAAGCTCAACTACGACGCGCTCAGCTACGCGCTCAACTTCGACGAGGGCCACGGCGCCACCCCCGACGCCGGCGGCGACCACGCCGGCGGCTACCGCGACTTCTCCTCCCGCTTCGCCGCCCCGCCCGCCTCCGCCAAGTCCTCCATGGACCTCGGCGGCCGCGACGCGCCGCCGCTCTTCCCCCCGCCGCCCGCCGACGGCGCCCCGCGGGCCTGACCTCCCCTCCGCCCCCCGTCCCCCCGGATCACACAACACCACAGGGAAAGTAAAGGTATCGGTCGATGGATGATGGTGGTCAAACTTCAAACTTTCAAAGCGTGGCAAAAAGACGGTGGCCTTTTCTCGGATGGTTCGGCTGCGATGGGGATCGTTTCTTTCTTCCAGTTCTTTCTCTCCTCTCCTGCTCCCATGATTGATTGATATTTCGTCGCTGTACAAAGAAAAACGAAGAAGAGAATCCATTGTTACATTCGTTGTCATACTTATTAATCCGTCTTATCAAAGTTTTGTCCCCGATTACGGCTGAGAAATTCTTCACTCGCGTCAGCAATTTCGCCATTGTTTTGCTTTGCATAAACAAAAGTTGAGTGTCCGGCCGGAAACTTGCGCGATTGGTAAGAAGAAGAGGAATTCTGAGCCGAATTCTAAGCGCTTGGCGTGCTCCAGCTGGGACTGATTGCGACCCAAGAAACGACGGGTGACCTCCGGCTGGAGGCGTTCGAGAGCCAGGATAGAGATGCTTGTCGCGACCGTGCACGTCTTGCACGAGACGGCGGTGTTCTTGGCCTCTTGGGACGCATGTCCCCACTTTTCTCAAGCATGATACATGTGAACGATCATCAATCGCTGTTACTCCTCGCTGTGAATTGGATGGTGGAGGGAATTGATGTGAATTCATCGCGGGAGCCGTGATCTCGAGAGAATCACGGACCGCGGTATCGAATTCCAGACGGACAGCCTTGCTTGATGTTAACCTCCAACCATCCATGGCCGGACCAGAATAGAATGCTCCTGGGTTGTCGTGTGGATACAGGTCGCACTGGGAGCACAAAGTACTCCTACAAACTTTGAATGGTTTGTGCAATGAAGCCATCATCAGCCCATAGTGGATTCCTCCCTGGAGTATGTAGACCATCTTTGACAAATATGAAAACCATACGCCATGCTCATCAATCATGGTCAGGTGTATGAATATATGTAGCATCATCTTAACTTTGTCACGACCCACGGCTGTGACGAGCTCATGCAGTGCTCCGTCCATTTCAATCATGCAGAGGAATAATAATCCTAGTCTCAGGGCTTTGTTGGGTATTGCAATGCTGATCTGTGCCGAGTGCTCTGCCATCAGATTTTGTAAGGGGCGAACCTGGCTTTCCAACAGAAAGTATATGTTATAAGCTGTATCATACCATCAGATATGACAACTAACAGCAGCAACTGAAAACTATGGTGTAAACAAACAAACAATGATGATGCACTGCCGTATCAGCATCTGGTTGATGGATGATTGCAGCAGCTGTGTGGGCATCTGGTAGTATGTTCATCCCTAGTAGTTGAACACTAATCATTTCCACACAAATACATAATTTAGTAGACCAGTAGCATTAGCAGTAGTAGCTCACATCTCAAAAGCAAACTGCTGGAATTATTGTCGGCATCTCCGGTTGTTTAATCATCAGTATGGGTGTGTGTGTGGAGGGCTGTCAGTTGTCACCTCTTCTTGCTGTCTGATTAAGTATGCTGGCTATCATGATATGATAATCAGATAACGTACATAACTTGCACTGTTCCACACCACTTACAGCTTTCTGTCAGATAACAACATTATAAAATCTCGAGTGCAGCAAGAAACCTGGCAATCTCGAGTAAGCAGAAGGTGGCGGGATTTCGATTTGGATGCCGAATACTTGCGGACACGATGGGCTGAACAGGGTGCAAGGGTGCAGGGATCGAACGGAACTGCAGAAATTGCACTGAAATTTCAGTGGACATAAGCCGATGCAGAGCATGAATTGGAACAACGGCTCGAGAGACTGGCGCTGAAAGAAATTAACGGTGAGAGCATTCTGGCAACAGTTTAATTAACCATGTGTGCGTGCAGGCAAACACCCTGATCGGATCCCTGACAAGGCAGCAAACAGGACTGCAATGTGGCATGACTCATGTGTCATGCCCCAGATGCCATCGACAGATGCAGTTTATTCGACGTTGATCTTGGCTGGTGAATGCATTTTCTATAAAATTTTACTATCCAAATAGGGCTACAACATAACATGAAAGAAAGGGAGGTCGTTGGTACGTGAGATAGGTCTATTTGACCCCTAAACTATGTCTTTTTGGACACTTCTCTCTTTATTTCATTTTTTAGTCTATTGTAGCTTGTCGTGTCCGGTAATCCACATCTGAGTCCAGGCTCAAATATCCCGATGAGCAGTAAATTCTGGAAATAGCAACACAAATTAGAAAAAAAAACTATTTTTTTAATTCAAGATGGTCGAGTTTTCTAGGAGCGTGTAAATTTTCATGCTCAAATGCAAGGATTGAAAAAGCGGTAGGCGTAAGCAAGGCGGTTGGCCTTCGCCTAGTGCCTAGGCGGTGCCTAAGCGCCCTAGGCACGGCCTAGGCGGTAATATTGTTTTTACTCCTAGTATATATGTGATTATTATATGGGTGTTGATATTAGTTTAGGACATATAAATAAGTGAATTACTGCCATTGGAATATAACCCGTTTGATATGTCAGTGTAGTATGTGGCATGATTTCTTGCTTGGGTAGGCAATTCCTTGCTTACCCTGCCTAGACCTCCATTTATGCCCTAGGCAAGGCGTTTGGCAATTGACTAGCGCCTAGGCGTGCCTAAGCGTCTCCTAGGCATTGCCTTTTCCAACAGAGCTCAAATGATATTTCGAGAAGCTCATACAAAAAAAGTAGGGCCTAAGCAACGCAACTTTTCAAAGTTTCTCCCAGAGACATTTTTTCCCTTTTCTTTTTGCCACGAGCTCCTCACCCATCTGAGGTAAAGAAAATGTTTTCTAATGAATTTACTGTTCATGCATGGGTGTGCGTGCATTGGTGTTGTCTTATGCATCTCAACTCTGCTAGGTCGGGTGGGTGCCCATTGTGTTTGTATCCTCCTAATGCTTTACTTTGAGCCAATAAAAACCACACTTTGTCGATAAAAGAAACTTCGGGGCTTAGGGTTGACCGCCGTCACTAGGTGGCGCCCAAAAATCAAGCTACCTATTTAAGAAAAGTATACCAAGGGTTGCAATCCTGCAAAATTCATTAGAAACCCCTTTACATCAAAATCAAAGAAGCAAAGAATCAAACCATCGCAAATACCCTAGCCGGCAGCAAGTCTCCTCCACGCCGCCGCCTGCCCTCCCTCCTCCCTTATTTCCCGTCCAACAGTTCATTGGCCGCTAGAGGAGTAGGGACTTCTCCCTTTCATTTTTTAAGGTCGAATGTGTTCTTGTTTTTCTTAGATTTTCTGTTAGCTTGGTGTATCAACAAAGGGGTGGCGGCGATGTGCATTGGGATAAAGTCTCTTCTGTCCCTTCCTACCTCAACGACATCTTACTCAGTTCCAAGCGAAGGGCCTATGAATGTAGGTGTCATCAGATTTGTTGACTCTTTTCAGATATTACCAACTGGCGTGTCAATCAATGAAAAACGCTGGCTGAATTTTGGTGTGACGACTTCGACATGTTCTTTCGAGTTATTTTGCGGCATGGCTTGATTTCTCTACCCATCTGGACTGATGGTGAAGAACTGCAAGCATGCATTGCGTGAAATAATGCCCCAACTAATGTTTCTTCGGTGGCTACTAGATCTTATTTCCCAGTGATGATTGGCTATTGTCTCCTTCAAAGCGTGTTATGGGCAAAGCATTTGTAGTGTCCATTTCCCTTACTATTGGTCCAGTATGTTTTTCAAACTCCAGCAGGCTGCGTGCAATCGAAGGAAAAATACAACCAATATGATCTTTTATGTAAGTTTATTTTTTTACTGGTTGTTTTTGTCTTGATGCCTTTACATAATACCGTTAACTTTATTTTATTTAATGATATTTGTTTTTTAAATGCCACTCAAAAGCCCAAGGGCGTTTGATATTTGATATTTATCAAGAAAAATAGCAGACAATACAAATGAACGAGACACAATACGATATGTAAAAATAATAAAATTACATAGAAATCATACTGGTCATCTTCTTCCTTCACTTGTTCGTCGCCCGTCGAAACTTTAAAAATACACTAAACATGCAATGAGCGACATGGACACATGCAAACTCCATTGTCATACAAGACTTTGAAGATCACAATAGCCACTCGCTGCAAACAATAAGATCTCGTAGCTGCTGAAGGAATTTCGGTTAGGGCAACATTCCACGCAGCATAGACCACAATCCTTCACAGCCAATCCAAAGGGTTATAAAAACAGGACATTGTTGTGGGACAAAATAAATGAAGAGGTCGAAGTCCCACCCGAATAATCAGCCAACTATTTTCTGTCTTAGACACATCAACTGCCAAGATCCAAAGAGAACCAACAGATCTGTCGAAGCTTACCGTCACGCGCCCTTCGTTGAAGTTGAATTGAACGCCCTTGAGATAGACAAAGGCCGAAGAGACCTTATTCCAGTTCCACGTTGTCGCCGCCACCTAGCCGATGCCGCTATGGAAACAAAATCTAAAAAAACACGACCTACTAGAAAAAACAATGAAGAGGACAGGTCCCCACTACTCTAACCCTCAGCGTGGCCGCCAAAAGGAAGAGAGGAAATAGTCGTGAAGACGCTGCAAAAAAAACCCTCACAAGAGTATTTTGAGTTTGATTTCGTCGACAATAATATTCAGTTTTAGGGATTTTTGGTGCCTTTTCTCAATAATATTATTTTGAAATGGCAAACTTCTGAAGAAAAATCCTTGAAAATTAGCAAACCTTACCCAAAACCCTTGTGTGAAATGAGAGTCTTGTGTGCAAAAACGACCCCAGAAAACAGAAAAATCGCCGTGTCACCCCTCCTTATCCTCTTCGTTTCCTTTTTCGATTTTGCCTCCCCACTCCAGTGTCGACGGCCACCACCGCCAAGCAGAAGACGGCTCGACGCCTACTTCCCCCGGCTCCCAGATTCTCACGGCACCATCTTCGCACCCCTCGCCGCCGGACGCTCCCCCGAGC